CGCCACGTGACTGGACCAGTAGGGTCTTCTCGAAAGATCGAGAAGTCAGCGAAACACGAGGCAGCGGCAGCATTGCGGCAATGGACGGCAACAAAACCATGTGCCTACGATGCCGAGAGTATCTGCAATAACGAGAGAGTCGGCGACCACGTCGTCCGACTGCCAGTCGTATCAGGCTGTTAACACGGCGGCGAGATCCGGTCGGCCCGGATCGATTCCACGGTCGGACCCCGGAACGAGAGAAGATGACTTCGAGCAAACCTGCACAACAGCTCGTCATACCTTCTGCGCATCCCAGGATGGGGCGACCGAAAACTCCGCACCGATCTCCATCAGAAGCTGAAAATGATAATTGTCGATTTTCACCCCCCTTTCACGAATTTTGATGGAATGATATTCATCGTTCGAGACATTTTCGGGTTCCGTTTCGGTTCCGACTATTCGAGGCAGGCAATGAATATCCAGCTCATGTTTAAACCACTCTCGAGTTTTGAACTCCGGGTCGTGACCGCAGAGCGTCCCTGCCGGATGGGACTCATAATCGCAGCGCCCACTCTCGTCGTTCAACGTTACGGCGGTTGAGCATCGAAGAACGGTATTGTAATTCTGGCGGAGTTCCCTGAAGAGACCCGACTGAATACGAACCCCGGGGAATTCGATTCATTTAACCTGATCGTCTGGCTCCCCGAATTCGCTCCGTCCTTTCATTCGACCTGTGTCAGTCTAGACGAGTCTCTTCTGGGAAAGATTTCCGCCCGGTGGGCGATAAACATACATCGCACGGAGAATAAATAGAAACCGCGACATCGATGAACCGCTGCTGGAAGGCTTCATCTAGCCTTCGTGCGATCGGGATTTCGTTTTTGGGAGCGAGCGTCTGCCATCGGAATTTTTTCCCCGACGGCAATCAGCCGAAGCATCGTCCGACCCTCGGCCAATCAATCATCCGTTCCGAATTCAGCAGGTGGCTTAATTCGGCTCGATGAATTTTCCGGCATCTCGTGGAAGGACTCTGAAATTGGGGAAACTCCGAGAATATGGGGCAGTCGCTCTCGAAACTTCCGCAGAATTCCGGCGGCGTCACTGAAAGTTTTCGCCTGTTTCTCTCCCCGATGCTAGGCGGATTGAACGGACGGTTCTCGTAAGTTATCCGCCTCGCGCTGGACCGACAGTGGTCGGCGGCGGACTTTTATTATGAGAGAAACGGGTTTAATGACTTCATTTTCGCCGCGCTTGAGCGTTGAGCCGAACCGAGCGGAGTTTCGATGTTGACAACAATAGGACCAGAGTGCCCGCTGCCCTGCTAAGCAGCTTCTCCCCCCGCGCGGGGATTCCCGGTCCCCAGAGGAGCTTGGAAGGCTCGGTTCGGTCGTGCCGTTGCCTTTCCTAACGAGCTAAAAGTGATTTCCAGTCCGTCAGCCGACGAAATGGCCGACCAGAGCCTAAGCCCAAGTCGAAGCCCGCGTGCCTGCGTGGCTTCATACATAAGCGCGGTACGACATACACATACTGCCAATTAGTGTTGCACGGGATCAAAGCCCGCCATCTCGAGCGACGGAGCACCGATGATTTCGACATTCTGAAATCGGCTTGGAGAGTTCGACGAGACGGAGACGGGAGAGAAGACGCAGTGCCGCGGTCGTAGGTCTTGATGAATATCTGTCAGCCGGCTCGACCTAGTCGGAGGTGAACCGTCGGACCTGGTCCGCGACTTTGTATGTTCGCGATGGAATTGAATGAGCCACGCAGACTTCTGTCTGGGGTCAGAGCCCGGATCGCTGCTCGTCAAGCGGAAATTCCAGCGCTTTCGGGAATCTGCCCGCGAGCGGAGGTTTTCCAACCGGTGAACGGCCTGCGATGTGAATTTCTTGTTACGCAATGGTTGGACCCGGGTCAAGGCGCTTTCGAAGCATCCGGATCCCAAGGAACAGAGTATTAAGCTAATCCGTGTCCTAGGAAGCCCGTCGCAGTGCTCTCGATCGAGTGTGGGTACATTGCCCGCGCATCCCTTCCCCTCGCGAGACAGGTGGGGAAGTATTCGAATAGCTCTGACGCGATCATCTCGAGTCGCAAGCGTTCAGGAATTCCGCTTGCTTTCAGAAAGCATATTTCTCCTATGTGAGAGAACGAGTTCCGGAGGAGCGCACGTGACGTCGACGGGGAATTTCGTTGCATTGACAAGCTCGCTAACATGAAGCTGCCATTCAGCTCAGGCCGACGTCGGCGATTGAGTTCTGAAGAGTTCGAGAGGAGCTTTTGAGAGGCATCGAGGACAATAAACGTTCTATGGAGGAGCTTCTCGAGACGACAACAAGAACCTGTTGCACGCTCCCGTCGGCGAACACCAGCAGCATCCGGTGTTGATTTATGGAATCGCGGCACGAAGGAAGTGGCGGCGTTCGTTCGTTCGAACTGGGGGAATGATGCTTCTGCTACTGCTCTTGCTCGAATCCTGCCACTCGAGTGAGGAGAGCGTCAGCAACTACAGTTTCGGGAAGCAGCCTCCAGGCTACGGAAATGTCTGAATGGTAGGAGGCTCGGCGCTGGAAAAGATGTCCGTCCGTCGCGGCGGACGGCCGTGCACCACTTCTGATGCTGTTGCAGATGTTGCAGCAGGTGGTGGAATAAGATTCTGGCGTCGCTCAGCGACTGCGAGCGTTGAGAGGGGAAGCGGATTGAAAGACGGGCGGGAGTTGCGCTGCCGGAGAGAATATCCAGGCTATTCCGGGGAAACCAAACAAGAGGAACATGGAAGCAAGAAGGACATTCAGAACAAACCGTCGGTGCCGATAGAGCCTCGATGCAGCAGCAGCAGCATAGTTTTTGTCCTTGAACAAGAAGAGCAAGTATACGGGAAGGGGAAGATAAGCACAAGGATCTCTGAAGCATCAGCTGCCGGGAAGGAATCACTTAATATGTTTTGCTCGATCAAAGAGTCTACTTCTTGACGGTGGCTGCGAGCCCGCTGCGGTAGAGGAGGTTCCCGCTTCCTTCTCTCTGTGATGTTGCGACGCGACGCTTCCTTGGAGGCGGAGGAGGTGAACAAAAAGAGAATTCCGGACAACCTCAGCCGTAGCGGGAATAAATCTCTCTCTCTGGGCGAGTGTTTTGATCTGCCGAAGGAACTCTTGCCGGGCGTTCCGTCAACGGCCGGGCGGATGAAACGCTCTCGACACACGCAGGCCAGAGGTCTTCGGTCTGGGTAATCGGGAATCGGCGTCTGCATCGGGGATTCTGAGTCGGATTCACGGCACCGGCGTCGCGACCTCCGATCCAAATGGCTGCGATTGGAGATGCGAGTTCCCCGCGAAGTCCACGGAGCTCGCTGCCTGAACACTTTAGAACCGAACACATAGACTCACAGAGGAGAGGCTTTTGGGGATCCGGAGCGAGTCAGCAGATCGTTCGTATGCGTTCCGGCATATAGCCAAAGAGTTTCGGGAAAATTCCTCTCGGACTAGTTCCACCTAATGGATTCGCTCCTGGCGTGTATGCAAGCGTCGTACGCTCGGGGATCCCTTTCGTTTCAAGATGGTCGACTTGACATGTTTCATAATTCATTCTCGAATGTAGTGGTAGCAGACAGTTCGAGGAAATCGAACAGAAGGGAGAGAAAAAATTGATTACCAGCCGAGGCAGTGCTGTGTAGCCGCAGCAGCAAATGATCGATCAATACGAGCCCGACCGAAGTCTTGCGGCGGCGGCGACGACGGCTGCGAACGGTTTGAACACTTACCCTCACACAAACACACTCGTCATTCCCGATTGAACTAGTACATTGTATCGGAACACTCAGAAACAGTTGGGAATCGAGGACAATATTTTTATGGAGGCATCGCACGCCTCCGAGGCTCTTCAATTTGTTGTTTCCGAGTTTCTCCCAGACTCGAATCGTAATCGAAGAGCTCGGAACGAGGGCGGGAGCGCTCGGGAAACTGCGCACAGAAATCAGAGGCCGTGCAATTTGCGCCGAAAATCGCTCCGAATCAGAAAAACAAGAAGCTAGGGGCGAAGGGATTCAGATTCACCTACATTGTAGCTTATCCATCTATGATATTGTAATGCACCAGCGCAATAATGCACTGTATTCGATAGAGCAGACTTTGGTGTTAGAATCCATCTAACGTATTGTGCCCACGGAAGATAAATCGAGGAGTTTCCAACGCAATCGATGAGACTCTCGGCGAAACCCAGGAGGTCATGATTCGGGTACCGAAGCAACAAGGCAGCGGGCGAGAGGTGAGCGTCGGGCGATTAGCCCTTGAGAGTGGATGGCGAGATGTACGAGCGAGCAAGCAGGTGGTCAAGTGGACAGCGTAGGAGACTGGCGAGAGCATGAGAGGTCTTGAGGGCTAGGACCAGGTGGATCAGAGCCAAGGAGTGTGTTGAAAGAAGGGGCCGCATGGGATGAGGCCACATGGGGTAGGTGGCCGGGGGGTGAGACAAGCGAGGATGATGGCACGTGGCAAGGACGCGGAGAGGAGGATAGCGAGCGGTAGGGGAACTCCGAATGCGAACGTAGCTGCGGGGTCAGGAATCCGCCGAGGGCTCCGGGCTCACCGCGCGAGAGTCGGTAGGTAGCTCAGAAATGAGCCGAGACTGGGGAAAGAGTGAGGGACGAGGCACGCATAGGTAGGAGCAGTCGAGGAAGTCAATGAGACTTCGGCAACTTATCTGCATTCGTCCCCGGAGCGCTCTCTTCTATTTCGAGGGCGCACGGTGACCTTCAGACACGGATTCCACTCGGAGACGGTATCAGGATATGATTCAGGGAAATTCTTTGTCCGTGTGCTGCAGAGAGTGAAAACGCATCTTCCGTAAACTGAGTCTTCGGTTTATCTACAGAGTAGTGAATTCGTTCGAATCGTAGGGAGCTCTGCGAACTCGAACGGGCCGAGGGCCCCATCAAGGTCCTGAAACGTTTCAGAGGTAGACTTCATAAATATGTATTATTATATTATATTATTCTCTGCGCGATTTTCGGGTCCCTATGGTGATTCTCAGAATCTTCTACTTCCGAATGCGGTTCTATTGTTCTGGATGGGCGCTCTCGCCTGGGGTTTCTGCGAAGTCGGCTGCTGCTGTTTCACTAGACGATCATGCTCTTCGCGAAGAGTTTTCAGTTGCTGCGGAAGAATAAATTCGTTCGAATGAGCCACGACAATAAGCCCGACGTGACGGTCTGTTGACGTTGAGCACCGGCTGCTCTTCTTCATCGGTCTCTGTATCGGTCATTAATTCTCAGGGAGCGACTCGATGTTTCCTCGATGATTCTGCTCATCGAGATCTCGACGTTGACTAACTTACTCTCGCACAACGTCTACTTAGAATCTCGAGACGCGCCTCCTTCCCGAACCAATCAAAAATACGGAAGGGCAACGAACCGAGCGGGGACTCACGGACGAAGACGACGAAATGCGATAAACAGGAACGATGACGCGCGGTAACTTAGGAATAGAGACTCAGAATGAAAGGAACAATAGATCTCGGCAGGCAATGGTAGATGTGGAGGATGTAGTTGAGGAAAAGGGCTCGTTGAATCTATCAAAGACCGGGAAAAGGCCACGAGAGATTCGAGTCGAGAAGCTACGCAATTTGAACGAATACCGGGAGGAAAATGGAAGATTGAGGGGCGGAAAAAGAGACACGCCTGAATACGGAAAAGGGGAGAGGAGTGAGATCCCCGAGGAGGATACAGCTGGGAGAATCGAGGTCGCGAGGGCAAGTCCTCCAGAAGAACTGGACAGGCCTTGATACGAGAACGAGACTCCTAGGAGGAAAGACTAAAAGGAAAAACACACAAAACTCCGTCAGAAGGGTTTTACTGGGGGAGACGTGGAGAAGGAGGAGAACCGTCCAGGAGCAGAGTAGAACAGAGCGGAAATAATTTCGAGGGTCATGCAGAGAGCCGCGAGTAATGAGAGCCGGTGTTGAAAGAGGAACCGGAAGATAAACGGAGGGACGGAACGGTTTGCAAACGGACAACGTATTTCCACATGATTCAACTACCTTTTGGGAACGAGACCCGTAACGACCCTTCGGGACTCGCATTAATCTCGATAACTCCTTTCCCGTGTGTGCGAAAGCTACATCTGGACGAAAAACCGGTACCGCTCCGGCCACCGACATCCGTCGAAAATACGTCTATTCTGAGAGAACTTTGAATTTGCCGAATCACGGCAGCAGAAGATTGCATCGAGGAATCGATTCCTGGATAATACTTCGTCTTGCGCGTTCCCTACCAAGATTCGTTCCTTCGACGTGTGCCTTCTACCGAGTCTCGTGGGAAGCTTACCTCGAGTAAATTGCAACGTTCCTTCTCCTGGTCTATTTCTTCTTCGAGCGGTGTCAGCTGTTCAAATAGGAGAATGATCCGTTTCCGCAATTCGATTTGAGATTCCAACTCCTCGATTAGCGTAGCTTGTTCCGACAGCCGTAGGGATTTTTCGGTTTCGTACATCTGCAACCAATGGTTTCTTGATTAAGGTTTCCGAGAAACAGCGGGACTACGGCCCGCGAGTCTTCCCAGGAAAAGCCACGAGGAAAACGGAAAGAACCACGGAGCCGGCAAACCACGGGAGCACGTTCGAGAATGGGATATGTTTCCGGTAGGCGAGAGAGAGCCGTGACGTTCTTTGCTGGTCGCCCGATTACATTTCAAGTCTACGCGTGCAAAATTTCCATCTTCGCGGGAACTCGCGCGTGCGTCCACGCGTGCTGGAAAACTCGCGCGTCCTTCATAAAATCCGAGCTGCAGCGTCCCATATCAATGTGGCACATCCGAGCTCGTTTCCGGCGCGAGCTGGCGCCTGGCATTTTTTCTCTTACTCCCAGTCCTCCAGACTCTGGCGATGACAAGTTTAAACTCGCGGAGAAGATGAATCATTCGGTGTAGAGTCATGACAGCCTCCAGAACACGAGTCAGGAAGCAGAAACGAAAATCGAGCAGAAAGCGTGTCGACGGCAACAAAAATCTAAAAATCATGGTCAGCTTTCGAGATTAGATTTGGTCCGGAATGGAACTCGCCCACCCCATCACCACCTTTCGGAAAGCTGAACAGCCAGCCACCCGCCCAACCGGACGGCCTTCCATCAGTCCGATCTGGCTGGCTAGTCTCGTTTTTGCATAACCCGAGCGCTGAGGCTCTGGAAATGGCTGAGGAGGCGCGGATTACGAGAGCGACGTTCACTGAGAGCCTCGCCTTTTTTCCGAAAATCCTCACAACTCGATGTTCAGCAATAGTCCACACCTGATCGGTGGGATATCAGGGAATCTCTGGAACCGCGATTGCTTCCTCATTTCGGGGAGCTCGAAACAGATCAAATCTCCCAGAAGTCTGCAAGGGTCTCTTTGTGGTAGCTCAGAAAGGAGCTCGAAAGGCTCGTTCTAAGCCCAGCTGGGCGGGAAACCAGTCGCCGAACAACAATCAGCTAGGAATAGGCAGTTGAAACGCATCGAAGACCGCAGATCAGAGAGCTCTTCCGATGTGAGTTGTTGAGCTCCGGGGAGGATCATTTTAGTTCAAGGTCAGAAGAGGAGTTGGAAAACACATCACGCAAGTCTGGTCGGTTTGGCCCTGAGCGGACCTTATAGGGCAAATGACCCTTCGAAAAACCTGGGACTCGGCGGAGAAGTTGGAATCCGGCGGATTTTTTTCGGCGAGATTGAGTCTACATACCGCAGATGTTCTGATTGAACAGCATGCTCCTCCATTTTTCGAGCCTCTAGAGTCCGTTCCTTGTTAGGGATCGCCCGTACATTGAAGGCTGGCTCCCTGTTTCTCCCAATCTTCAAGATGAACATAGAGCAAGCTTCCTTTTGAGTGCCAACCCGGCGAGATCTATCGCACAAATACGGAGGCGATACGGATAATCTCCTAAAGTACTTCCCGGGAACTTTTTCCGAGTCTTTCGGACATGGATAGCCGATCTTCGGCCCTAGAAGTGTCCCCTATATGAGAGACTGTTCGTGTATTTGAGACTGCTTTTTATTTATTCCGAGCTCCCAAAACCTGCTTGCCTCTCAGAGATTGCACGTATGTCAGAAACTGCTCTTCAATTGAAATATTTTAGGCATTCCTTGAATGTTCCCACCCATTCCGTTTCCTTCTCCTTAGAGCCCCAGAGTTTCCTCAATATCTGGGTTCCGATGAATATTAATCTGTCAGACGTCTCGAGCGTATTAATTGCCCCTATTTTTCCATCGTTTGTCATATTGAGTGGTCACGTACACGACCGGAAGCGTCGACGGGAGCGCGGCCCGAATCAAGCAGAGAGCCTACCACCATGTAGCGACGGAGAGAGCCGCAGCAGTGGCGTATCGCAGGGAGGAACTCAGTGAGATACACGTTTGAAGCACAAAGGATGTTCCCGAGTTTTCCCGGACGCCATCGTCGTATCGGGTGCTGCTTATCAATCGGAGAGCTATTCGGCCAGGGTCATTCGACCTCGAGCCGTCCGTGTTATCAGACTCGAGTCGCTCGGCGTCAAAGAGATTGGGCAACTAAAAGATCGTGATAAGGCTGTAGAGAGAGTGGAGGAGGATGGGTACATCGAAGCGCAGAAGCAATATCTGTCGCTGTGATCGAGTCGGCGCCACCGCATCGTTTGCATCGACTGCGACCAAGACGACATTCGATGTCTTCCCGTTGCCGCTATCAGCCGGAATTAATAACCATCCGCTCAATTGAAGGCCTGACGATTCCACTGGGTTCGTCGGCCGAATTCAACATGTTTCCTGTCGCTACTTTCGACATCTGCATCCCGCCGCCCGGGCACGCGGAAGAGGCTCATATTCCGCATTCGAACCGGGTCCGAGATTTCACCGAACGTGCTCCGATCCTAGTAGGATCTTTGGAGTTCATTCTACGGAGTGGAATGTGAGATAATGTATCATCGAGGTTGAGAGGAACGAGTCCATGTTATGTTCGAGCATCGATCGATCCGATTAGCATGCGTCAATTTTTTTCTGCCTAACGGATTGTCACCTCTTTGTAGTCCAAGTCGCTTGAAGTTCTCGAGCGCCCGTCGCGTAGCTGCTGTAACAACAAAGCGAATCAGGGTAATCCATGTTCGGCGAAAGCATCAACACCCCGTTTGTCATTTTTGTCAGCCAAGATGTATTAAGGGAGCGCTGCGTGGTATGCGAAATCCGGTAATTATTTTCATCACGTCCCACCACTACATCTCGTACCGTCGGTTTGCAAGACAGAACGCCGCAGCCAGCTGCAGCTACGGATGTTAGACGGATCCCATCGTCGCCACCATCGCGAACCATGCTGCACCAGGATTTGCGGAGACCGCATGGTATGGAGGGGAGAAATAGGGTCTGTGAGAGGTGGGACAGAAAAGTTGATGGGGGAAGGGGAGGGGTAATGGTCCGAAGGGCAGGCGAGGACGAGGCGTGAGAGGTTGGAGAGGAGAAGAATCGTGCGAATATCAGAATATCCATGAGAGTGATAAACTGGAAGGCCCCGAAGCGAAGACAAATGGGAGAAGGCGGAGGAATGGTAGAAACAGGGCACGTGGTGGAAGAGGAGCAAACGAGACCTGGGATCCAGGATAAAAAACGAACGACGAGAATAGGAGCGGATGAGCCATTCAGAAGGTCCAGCGATGAGGGGAAGACGCAGATGGGCGGAAGGAGAAGACTGGGAAAGATGTCGGTTCGGGGGGAAAGGAGCGAAGAGAGAAAGATAGGCGAAAGGAGATTGAGTAAGACGATGAAACAAATAGGGAGTAGGCGAAAAAAGATTTAGATAGTCATCCGTCTTTGCGAGCAGGCAGGCGAGCTCCGAGGCATCGGTGGTAGGCTCGCGCAACGAATACAAATCTGTGCCGCTGCTCGCCCGCCGTGGAATATACTCTTGGGAGAACATTCCGCCAGTCGAACAAAGATAAATCTATGTAGGTGCGTGCGGGGCGGCTGTCTGTTTCAATATGCAATCGTACCTCTTATCGATCGGGGAAAGAAGTATATCTATGTCACCGATTGTGTCAGTCGCAGACGCGGGGGAGACAACAACAACAAAAACAGCAGCAACAACAAGAGCAACAACAATAACAACAACGTCAAGGGAATCCACTCATCGGTCAGTCCGACTTCTCGCTCACATGATCGCTGTCGTCATCTTCGAAGCTGGCACAACTCAGATTTCCTAAACTTCTGGAAAAATTCGATTTCCTCAGACTTGTCGGGCTGCCAGAATTCCTCGAGCTATATACATCGTCATCGGCGCCGCTTCCAGATAGATTCTCCGAAGAATTGTTTTGCCTCGACGTGAAGGAGCTCGAGCCGAACGACGGTCGTCTGTACGTCGGGGCGTAGGACGAGTACGTCGAGGGTCTGTAGAGCGAGGAGCCGAGAGAAGACGAGGAATACGATGAGGGTGAATACGACGAAGGTGAATACGATGAGTACGACGACGGCGTGTACGGGCGTCTGAACGACGACGAGTACCCAGTCCCGTAGCTGCTTCGGTAGCTCATGTCGTTCTCGCTGTTCTTGTGGATGAGGTTTTAGGAGCTCCTTGTTTGTAGTGGTTGGTCACCGTTGCTGATCTGGGGCCTACCGCAGCCGTAGCCGCTGTTATGTTGATAGACTATCAAGAGGTCAGCCCGCAAGGTCAGCGAGTCTGTTTATCAGCCAGACGATGAAGGCACAAAACAGCGCTTTGCCGACAAGAGCCACTATCATACCCGCATCGCGCACTTGTACACTTCGCTGCAACGTAGCACTTCTAGTCCATTTGCGCCCGGTGAAAGAAGGCGTTTGCCGGAAGAAACGTGAACCTCTTTCACAAGCCTTCCCTCGATTCTAAGACCGCGAGCAGACCGGTGGCGGGCTGACCGGCAGGCTCGAATTCACCCGCTAAACCACCCGCCACAAATAGGAACCACTGTGCTACTGACTGAAACTGCGGCCACGCTCTCAGCGTTTACTCTCGCCAACGAGACCCGCTCTCGTTTTCTTTCAGTCGGTTACGGACTCTTCTACGGGCGCGCTTGGCGTCCGAACCCGGTGCTTGGAAGCGGGTGCGGTCCTCACCTGTATGTTCATGTTTACCTTCCAGCACAAGGTTGAGAGTTGAGACCCCCAATCATTTGCGGTATTTACCGGAATGACCCACGGCGCCGCTGAGCACCGGCAACGCATGGCTCTGAGCGTTTTCGGAATGTCGAGCGTCCTAGAATTCCAAAAATGAGAACAGACTGGGGAGCGATCACAATCCATTGGGATAAGAGGAGAAAAAAGAGAAGGAAAAAGTGCCTGTCAAGAATATATTGCTTTTCGGGCGCTTGAAAAGTTGTCCGGATTGAAGAAGAGAGTCTTTTCTATATCGAAGACAAATATTTGCGGATCTAGATCATCTCACGCTTCGGATGGAGGAATTCGAGAGCTCGGCGTTTGCCGGTGGACAACTGCTCCGAGTGACCTGAGAAGCTGGAACAACCTGCCGCAAACGCTGACAGATTTAGTGCAAATACCGACGCTCTGGTCCCCTGATATGGTCCGAAAATATGATCTGGGACTACAATGCTTCGGTCGGAAAGCTCTCCGATCGAAGATCTCATCCCAGCTCCCCCATGACGAAGCCTAACTCCACTACGGGGGCGGAGAGACAACTCTGAAGGATGGACTGGGACATCTCGGACGAGATATCCGAGCGCTCGCTCGCTCGCCCTCCTGATTGTCAAGCAGCTCCGGACCCTGGCGGCTGCTATGGAAGCTGATGACGACGATCGTGTCGCCGGTTTTGTGAGTGGCACGTCTTGACAAATCCCCGATCGTTCCCGAATGTGCCCGTCGTCGAGACCGAGTCACTCGTCTCCGGGTCTCTCCGACGCGACCGACTCATCGAGTATGACCTGATCGGCGCCGGGTGACCTCCACGCGGTTTATCACTTAAAATCTATTTCGGTCTTTTCATTCTAGCCGACTTGGCTTCTCGCACGCCTAGAGACGATTATACACATGGTGCTCTTCCGAGAGACTGACAACGCGAGAAAACGCCTAGAGAGACTTGGCAGACGCGTCGCAATATCGAATCTATTATTTCATTCACCAGGAGGCGAGTCGGCCTCGAGCAGTCCAGATCGACCGAGGTGAATATTCCACATTGGTACTCGTCGCGTTGAGATAGAATTATTGACCGAGGTTGAGACCAAGGTCGGCGCGAGTTCGGTCTCCGGATCACAAACAGTTATGATCATATCATATGACGAAAATTCTAGATATTAAGATATGTATTATTATGGATCAGGTCCCTATGTATCGAAGATCGAGTCTCGACACGATGCCTTGCCGCGGTCGAGTCGCACCAAAGCCTGTTCCATAACGTGAGAAGGTTTTGGAATGCACGAATCTTCTGCATCGACATGCCGGGGATTCCATAGAACTTGGGCGGCGCGATGAGGGCGGAAACAACAACACCGGCGACGGACCTGTCAAAAAGTACCTACTTATTTAGTCCGGATAATATATTGCTCGCAGCTGCTGTTGCTGGTTGCCTGGCTGAGTTCCTTCTCTCGCCACTGAGCTGTCTATACGGGATACGACGATGGACCGTCCGATAGCAACGCCGCGGTGCCGTCGACCGATCCGGTCCCTAATCGTGGCGTTATGATTGATGGAAGTAAGTCTCTCCTCAGCCTTATGACCCTCAGCTCCCCTTTTGCCTGGCATACTACAAGCTGTCCGGCCAACTCTTCTGCGATTCAATTACAGATTCGGCCGACTCCCACCGCGAACGCCAACATCAGCAGCATCAACAGTGGTTGCGGAAAAGGCGACGAAGGATGGAAGCTCACTCAGCCGTCGACTCGCCTTCCAAGGAATGACGGCGAAAATGCGATCACGGCGGCAGCACTGGTCTCTGTCAAGTCTTCGCGACTCTTGGCTCCCCTTAGAGTTATGAAACTTCGTGAGATATCTCTTTCGGACAGTCAGTCAGCCAGCCACCGGTCGGCCGTCCGGCCGTCCGGCAGGCCAGCCGCCCAGCCACACAATTTGTGACGGCAAGAACTCGCAAGAGAGGTCTTTGGACCGATGCCAGGACTTGAAGTAATAACCGATGAAGCTTCGAAGGAAGAGTTTTTTTTTGCTCTTATCAACGCAACTCTCGTTCCAGCCAGTACCATTTTGCTCCTATTTCTGTCCGGGTGCCGGTTACAAGTCGTCATTTTTGCGTGAAAGTAATCCCAGTAATGTTAATGATAAGAACTTTCTTCATGTTATCCACAAGAGTTACGTCCGGCATTTGTTTCCCTAGAGCTATCTTTCACTACATTGTCTTGACAGTTCCGGGTCACTTCGAGGAGACAGATTGTTGACCTTCTCCTTGTCAGATACGCATTCCGATGTCATGTTCTCCTTCCGGCTGGCTAACGATGGATCATCTCACCTTCGTCGAGAGCAGGGAGAGGAGAGGGATCAGGAAACTGGAAAGATATTTGAATGTTTCATGAGCGTTCGAGAGCGCGGGCGCCCTTCAGAAACCGACAGTGAATTCAGTTCCACTCAACAGTCAATGTCGGTCGAGCTCTTGAAACTTGAAGTGGGCCAGCCTGCAGACTGGAATACGCCCACCACCGATTCCCCTTCTCTTCTTCACAGGCGAAGGATTCCTCTACAAGGTCGAGTTCGTCGGAGTGGAAACCTTTGCAATTAGTCGCATCCTCAAGGCAAACGGATCATTGGGGAAGGTCCTCGATATCGTTAGAGCGTCTCCTCTCGAGACCGCGGCAGCTTTTCGGCCTAGTGTTCGAACTGTGGAGTTCCCGAAGTCTAGGTACACGACGCGCTGCCGAGTGGACGGCCGAAGATTGAGTGTGAGGTCGCCGCTCGATACCTCGATGAATGACCTACTTTTGGAGACTTGAAAGGGAATGGAACATGCTGTACCCATTTTTAGCTCGGGAAGTATCCCTATGCCCTCCGAAAATTCTGCACCGGTGTACGGAGGTACTCGGGAGCGCTCTCAAGAGGAATAACTTTCCGGGACCAAGATACGACGAGAATCCGGTCGCGATCCAATTCCGCATGCTCATTGAACTTCCTCCCTGTCCATGAATCATCCCTTCGGCTAGAGAACTCCTCAGCAACACTTCGGGCCGCCGGAGTCTAACTCGACGTCGCGTCGTCCCCGTCGTGTTCAACTAGAATGATCTCACGGTCGATTTCAGTTTATTTCTTCTCGACTCCTTTCTCCTCTACCCGTATCCATTCAGAGAGTCGGAGGAACGAAGTCATCTATCTGAATGACCTCCACTGTTTCTTTCCTGCCTCCGCCGTTTTCCGACGCTTATTCTCCAAGGTCGCCTTCCCGAGTAGAAATAAACGACCAGAAGACTTATTGACGAAGCAGAAAGACCGCGGCGAGGATCGCTCGAGAATACTCGCGGGAGGTCATGGTGCGGCGAAAAGAACAACGAGGGGTATTCGCGTGAAACGCGAGCTGGGAGGGCCATTCTGATACTTCGGCAACGGTGAGTAGATTGAGAAGTCGGAGGAAGAGATATCGGTAGTGACGGACAAGGGGGATGAAGTTTCCCGGGAGAAGAAACAGAAAGAGTTCACATTTTCAGCGAAGCAGAAAAGAGATTTGAATCGGACAAAGAGTTCCAAAAAGTAGAACCCCGCGGAATTTCAGAGTGCTCTTGGTTTCCTTCCCGCGCAACAGACTCTCCGACAAATGCGTGACGAGCGATTCCGGGCGTATTGCGTTCCCCAGACAGCCACGACGCCGACGTTCCCCCCGGCGAGAAATCCGAGCACGAAGACCTCGATCCAGGGAGCTGCGGGGGAAGCAGAAGTAATTCGACGGGCTGCAGTTTCTTCTTCTGATTTCGGGCTGCAACTCTCTTCTGCTCCTCTCCTCGTGCCGAGAAAGCAGACGAGATTCACCTCCGAATACTTTCTGCTGCGATTAGCGCTGCGAGCCATTTTTAATCGATCGGTGATCGTTCGGGTGAACGGAGGCTCAAATTCTCTGTCACGAGGGAACGTTTTTGTTTTGTTGCAATTTCGCTCGGCATGAGCGAGGGAATTTTCTGCAACGAGAGCGTCTGTTTTCTTATCGCAACGGTTGCCTCCTCGAAACTTTTGCGAACTTTCCGCGACGCTCGACCGTGGAATATTATCTCAGATCTCCTCGGCAGCAGCCTTGAGACGCCCTTCGAAATTGTGCGTTCATGGGTCCCGAGTCCACCTGACCGGGAGACTTTCCGGTGTCCCTTTGACCTCAAGCACAATAGTCTCTCAAGACCGACTCCGCGTCAATCTCAACAAATAAATTGAGTTCCAATGCCGGTGCGCGCTCTGCACTAGGTAATTTCCAGACAGGGATTTCCTTCATCTATATTCATAGAGTCCCAAGTCCTTGAGTGGCCAAGGAACGGGAGAGATACCAGATGACCGCGGACGACGCCGTCGAGTTCGTTCATTGGTTGTAGCGGTTCTTCCGAGGTTGCGGTAGCGGCGGGGTTGCGTAAACGTGGACAATTTCGCGTTGCCCGTCTTGGCGGTGGCTTGTATTCTCCACTGTTCCCGCAGCCTCATTTATGACCATCAAGCTGATTCCAGAAGAACGGACACAAGCTCGCGGAAAGTATGGGGTACGGATTTTTCGCCTATGATATTTTACCGCCCATGAAATCTCCTCCGCTCCGGCCCGCTTTCCGTCATTTCTCGAGGCGCTATTCGGCTTCCCGAGCTTAGCGTCGAGCAATCTTCCAGACGAGTTGTGCGGATATATCCCCAGCGATGGGGCCCGGACCGCGGGGGGATTCCTCCAGGAATTTTAATAAGCGTCGCCGAAGAAAAGTTAAGAGGGAGCACCGAGAAACTGGAGAGAACCGAAGATAAACATTATCTTCGAATACGCAAGTCGA